ATTAACAATTTAGATGTTTAATGTCTTAAATACATGCAAGAGATTTTAAACAATGACGGAATGTAAATGTATATTTCAGACTGTTGTTGCGTATCAATTTCTACAGAAGGCCAAAGTCCAAAAAACTAAAGCAGCTAGAATACATTTTTTACTGAAGCAAATTGACACAAGTTCATCTCTCATACTGTATTTGTCATCTTTCGACTACTTGGTTTACGCACTGCATATTGCTTTTCAATCTTTATATTGATTGGTTGAAATTACAACTACCGGTACCGTCATCATTATTATAAGGCTTGTTTATCATTCTGAACTTAAAATCCGATGAACCACAGAGTCTGACGCATTAAATTCATCTTTTGATCATGTCCCTAGAAAAGACATTTATGGAAACAGCAAAGCATTATTGTAAAGGTGATGAACTCAACAGTTACATCACAAACTTTCCAAATTGGTGGAGATATATACCCTAAACACCTACATATAAAATCTATGACTCTAAACTGATTCTAAAAGCAAGAGTGTGTTCTACGTACAAACATTTTTTAATGGAGACAATCTTTTGACAAACAGTTCAAGACTAGGATATCAATAGTCTCGTTTTAAGGTAACATTTGTAAGTTCGTTGATCTATATAATAACCTTAATAGCAAAATACAAAATATCAAAAAGTCGAATTCATACTTTTTAAGACTATTGCGCGGATCTGTTAAGGTTACAATGAGATATTCTATTATCTTAATCAATGTGACGTCATTAGTAGGCTATATGACGTGAACTTCAGAGATACATATAAGAATTTCTTAAAATCTGTAGTTATAGAATGATTTTAGGTCCTGAAAAAGGATGAATACATACAAAATATCAATAAAAACAAAGTATTGCCGTTTTTAGGAAGTATTAATTGCTATGTTTTTGTCTCGGGGATTAAATAAAAAAAAAGTCATGAATGTTAATCATCTGAATTTGAAGAGTGAACATGAAACGTAACATGAATTCATGTAAACAAACAGACGGAATCTGATTTAAAAAAAAAATAACATGAGAATTATGCATGATTCATGCAGAATTAAAGATTATGGATAAGGCACCCATATTTGTTTTTACAATTTCTACGTATAAGGAAAGCAGACGGTGCAAATAAGTTTTTCCTAGAAATGTTCACTTAAACACTACACCGCATACTTTGAAACGTAATTTTTTGTTCTATCGAAGGTTCTTCTGCAACAGTTCTTGGTACGTGCTCCTAGAATGGTATGGCCAACGCCACTTGTTAAATATTCTACGATCTATTGTTCAAAATGTTAAGATTTTGGTAAGATCCCATACGCAGGAGTGCAATAATCATTTATGTGATAGGAGTGTAAGATTCTACATGAAGCAATACTGTTCATAGTCTTGAGCTGATTTTATATTACTTTTATTACAAATGGAAATCAATTATACCCTGGGTAGTGTTGAACTTTTTCCCCTAAGATATATTTTCCAGAGTCTCGACTTGAAACAACCTAACAGAAACCGAATCTGAAGCGCACGCCGGGTTTGCTATCTGAGTCCGCTTCGGGTTCGCTCTAGAGCGAACGCCGAAAGCAAACCCTAATTTCAGTAGCGGTCCAATGGAGCAAACTCGTGTTTGGTATAAAATAATTGAGGTGTCAATCAGAATTAATGATTAACAAATCAGCGCGTCGACCATTCAGCATGGCAAGGAGATCTTTCAGTTGGGATAAAAGATCACATGCATTGACCAGTCAGTGCGTCAACCAGTGGACCAGATTGCTAATCGATATAAGTTTAAAAATCGCATATGTATAAGCAAAGCGTGTTAATGTACAGTGTATTAATTTATAATTAATTTCATTATAAGAATATGATTGTATATTGATATATTTTAAATTTACAGGCGACATGTTATATCCATATTTTTTTTTTTTTTTGTTTTTTGTTTTTTTTTGGAGATAATTAATATAGAAATATGATATAGGAAATTCAGACTGTAATTATTAATACTTATGCCCAAATTCTAATCACTTATTTATATGAACAACCCCCTTTCATTCCTATAATATTTCATTAGTTAAAGAGTTTCGTTGCTTGTAATATTTTGTGTGAAAAGAAAAAAAATGGCCATAGTGTGAAAAATGAACAATTTTCCAAGAAATACTCGTTTCGTTTTTACAAAAATTAGTCCAGTATTCAATCAAATTACGCTTTAAAGAACAGTCCCATTACACATTCTATAAAATTTCTATTTCTTGAATCGTGTCCTTCATCCCTTTGCTGTTTGAGGGACTCATTCAAGGAGGATTCTACTCCTACTCCTGATAGTCAACAAGTAAATATCCGTTATTGCCTTCATTCGGTACGGCATCAGGTACGTCTGTTCTGTTCTGTTTTAACACATTTATTTTCTTTCTTCTATTTCATAAAAAGAAAAAAAAATATCATATATTTTATCTACAAATATATTTCAAGATTCAAAAATTTCGTCAATTGTACCCTTAATCAAATCCGTCAAAATATCGGTGTTCATTTTACCTACCGCTTTAGACAGAATAAAGCGAGTAAGACTGCGGTCACAGTAACTGATGCTAAGAAAGTCCCAATCGCTACATAAAATCTGAGCTGCCAATCTGGTTCCTCGTGAGTGTTAACTACAAGGCAAGATCATAAAACCTGTTTTGAAAAAAAAGCTAAAACAGAATGGAGAAAGCAATTATTTGATATTGTTTTATGTATGGGTATTATGATTAGTTTAGTAAAGACATATATACACTTTACAATCAGAATTTTGATTATTTCTTTTGTTAGACTTTTGATGATCTTTAATACAGGTACAAGTGAAACCCCGAGTTTACGTGCTGGGAAACCAATAGACAGGGAACTTCATGTTTACATTGATTAAAGATCCCAAAGGAATTGGAGCAGTTGCTATTTTTATACCATTAATAAAACGTATACGTCAAACCCTGTATCTGCAAGGGATTTGACTGATAAAATCACATTTATTTATAGTACAGTGCAATGATGTAATGATAAATCAAAATACACCTAACATGCTTATAATGAGGTGTCATGGTCGGAATTATTCTTGTAAGTAGAACGTAAAAATAGTGATTATTGTCAGATTTATATCGCCCTTTATTAAAAGAAAATAACAAATTCAAAAGAATGTACTCTTACTCAGTTAAAAAAAAACCTTTATCTACCAAATTCACACTGATATCCAGGATTTGCGTTTTCACGCCACTGGCATTCCCGATTTTCTATATGACAAAAGTTGCAGGTACCAGGACAGGGAAGAGATGAGTTTGATCAAAAGTACTGTATACAGGAAAATTTTCGCCCCTGTTTTATTTCCGCCCCTTTCGCCCACCCTCATTTTCGGGAATTTAAAACGGGGCGAAATCAATGAATACAGAAAAATTTCTCAAACAAAAGTTTGACTAGGCGAATTAAAAGCGGGGCGAATTTGTTGCATTTGTGAAAGGGTGAAAATAACACGGGGCGAAAATAACCGTGGATACAGTATTCAGTACTGCAGTCTTAATTATACAGGAAGGAAATGAAACTTTTTTATTTTTATTACACTATTGGTATTAAGCAATTGATGAAATACTGAAATGGGTACATGGCCTTTAGTAGTTTGTTTTGTTTTGTTTTGTTTTGTTTTTTAACATAAATGGATTCTTTTCTACTCCTTTCTTACTGAATTTACCCTGAGGTCCCTCGTATCCGGGTATATTTTGCAGACATTCTCCTGACTCTATATGACAATAACTACAATGGTAAGGACAGGAGAGAGAGCAGTTAAATCCATAATATCCCGACTTGCAACCTATAAAGATAAAGACGATCATGTTCTCCGTTAATAATAAAATTTAAAACAAAAAAAAATCTACGATGCTAAAAAAATTAATTTTCTTAACAGAAAAGAAATTAATACTGCTGTTTGGGATGATGAAACATAATTTTAATAATTAATTTTATTATTTTTTTTTCTGTTTTGAAGCGCAATATATAGCTTACCATAAACCTCAATTTCACAGAGATCAGTGACAGCCTTACTGGAATAATCCTTAGGATATTTAACTCCTGGAAGCCTCTCATTATAGTAGATGACGTATTGCCCATGGATTGGACAAGATATATTGAAAACAGTCGGTATTGTAGATTTGGTGAAATTCGTGTCGTGAAAGCAAAGGTAGCCATCCGATCGATTGGTAGTATTTGAAACATAGATATAAAATCCCAGACTTCTGTGGGCTAACATATCAGGTGTATCTACAATACAAATAAGTTTCACAAAGCATTTGTTTCCCTATTCCGAGAAAACTCATAACATTCTTTTACTTTAAAAATTATAATTATGTAACTAGTATTTCAACTGTTTTTAGAATTCAAGAGGCAAAACATTTTATATTGTTTATGGAAATATCGGTAAAACTTTGGTTTAAAGTACATTTTTTTAGCATTATGAAGAATTCTGATTTATATTTCATTTTTTTTATTTTCCTTATAAATTAGGAATTGCCTCCTTATAAGTGACCTTATTGAAATGTTATATTTTCATTAAATATTACCATAAACAATGAAGTTCCCATTGATTTAAAATCAAAATTTTTAATTATTATTCTCCTTAATTTATCCATAACTTAAATTATAATTCATTAACGTACCCAACGTGTTATTATCATTTCTTAGATAAATCCTTATGTCATGAATGCTATAGATTGATGTAAGGTTCACCCAAAAGGTGGAGGGGCCGTCTTGTCGCCGTGATATAGCGCATTGCCCTCCCTTTCCGTGGAGGTTAGATTTCATTCCGTCGACGGCGTTACTGGAGTGATATACTTGGTTTCCTGGCCAATACTGATTTGCTTGCCATGTTGGTTTATTCAAAGCCAGATTCACTGAAATGTCATTTTCCTGTATTAACATTAGTTTTTCTATAAATCAATCTAAAGCATAGAAAGATTTTCTAATTTATTTTGCATGCTGATCACTTCACTATAGTACAACCCTAACCTTGATCTTAACCTGTTTACCCATGGATTTCCATATATTCATATCAGTATGAAATATTGAGGTCAGGAACTTTATTTAACTGATCCCTTGAAAAAGTCCTTCCGATTTTGCAAGTTGCAAGTTACACTCTGACAAAATTTTGATAATGTATAGCGCTGTTTGACTAACACCTGTTTGTAAAAGTTTTTTTTTTTTTTTTTTTTTTTTTAATAAGGCGTAGATTGATGTCTATAAATGTCTTCCTGGTATCTAAAGCCAGAAAGCCGAATCTTCCAACACACTTAAAGCTACAGATAAAATATACCACGTGGAGTACTTTTGAAGTACTTTTGGCGAAAAAATGATTTATACTGAAAGGAAAAAGAAATGCAGTGTAGCATAATATACGAAAACTATTTGACCGTATGACCGAAAATTACGAAAATTGGTCAGATGAGAAATTTAGTAACTATGCACCAAAATCAGTGTTCAGAATTACTCAACCGTAAAATGTATGACGTCATAAAGGGAAAACGGTAAAAAGCCCAAAACACGTGCAATTTGATAACGACGAGTTTGTCAACAAATCTTGTTGCACCATTTGAAGCACCTGAGGTATACACATTGTTTTTCAATATTTAGAGACGACATGAATTCCTTGCAATCTTGGTTCAGTTTACGGAAGTCCAGTGGGGTTTGATTTTCGAATTGCCCAATTTTTGAAAAAGGCAACAATGGGTAACTAAGCAGTTTCTTGTAAATTCCCCCCCCCATAAAACTTGTAACCCGTTGTCAGAGAGGGCATGGAATGGTTTTTAATCAACCGTGATGACGAAGTTAACGCGAAACAGAGCCATGTTACGAGCAGGTTATTCGTCCTGCCACCTCTTAAATCGCAATCCTACTACCACAAAAACCGCCTTTTTTACACTTGACTATTCTAGTCATTACATTCACACAAAAATTAAAAGAAAACAATTGTGCAATTTGATTTTTTGAGCAAGTCAACTTACTGTTTTTCCCCTTTCACTCGCGCATGCGCGCGTTGCATGACTAATTTTTTGGTGTGGTTACAGATGCCCAATAAAGCCAGAGTTTAAAAGATAATCACTCTGATGAATTCCATGCAAAGGAGAAATAACGCTCATGACCGATGCGAAAGAGAGACATTGAAGATAATGAGTGTTTTCGATTTTCACTTTTGGGGGGGGGTATCGTCATATGAGCTTCAATAGCTCAAGAATTATTGGACAAAATCAAATGAAATTTTTGTTATATCTTTTTGAAAAATGATTTTAAAAAGTAAGATAGGAATACTGCAAAAAAAAAAAAATGAAAGAAAAATGAATTTAATTAACCTCAAAAGTTTTTTTTTTTTTTTTTTTTTTTTTTTTTTGCGGACGAGCAGACAAACAGACGGATAAAGTTTAAGAGTTATTATCTGTAAGCATCAAAATTGGCTGGATATAGATTATCACGGATTTTGCTGAAACTTGGTGAAATAATTACATTATAAGTCCTATTTACATTGTAAATATAATTAAAAGTGATCAATTGGTCTTGTTTCCATGGCAACCAGGTTACCTATTTTTGCACATAGGTGGTAAATACCTAAAATGATACTTCTTCCAATTAATATACATTTAATTAAATAAAGGTGATTATTATTATTTTTCCTTTGAAATAATTTGTAAATTGTGTTTACTATACAAAAAACTTGAAAATCTTTTTTGGACCTGCCGTTAAATGCCAAATAACATAAGAAATTGCCTTAAAAAGAGGGTGGTTGAACACAACATATGTACACAAAAAACGCAGACACTGGTGCAATATTCTGATGCTCTGAATTTCTTCTTATACATTTATGAAGAACATATGAAAAAACTGGAGAGGTAATATTTACTTTAAGAAAATAAATTTATTGTAAAGTTTGTAAGAATCTCTAAATTTACATACATTTTCGACAAGAGTTATTTCTCTTTTCAGAAATCTTTTGCTTTAATCGATGAAAATGAAAGTAAAAGTACACAGCAGAAAGCAACTTTTAGGAGTAAATACTGTGTGTTTTGGATATTTTCAGGGGTTTAAATCCAACTTGTGAAGTATTTAACATTACCCATTGTTAAATGATTGTTCAGTCTTAACGGTGTCTGAGAGATATACATGTTTGATGTGATAAACTTAAAAATGGATTGCATCCTATGAAATTCCTGCCTATGTGACAACAAGTGTTGAAACATTAATAAAAAGTGTTTAAAAACAAATTAAGTAACGTCATTTAAATAGACTTCAGCGCTAAGAGTGGGATAATAAGGTTTTGATGAAGAAATAAGCATGGCAATAAGAAGCACTAGGATAGTACCAATGAAATATTTACCACGTACATGTACATTAAAAGTTGCACATATTTTGTATGAGTTTATTATTAATAATAGGGCATGACTATTTATTATAGAAATAACTTTATAGTATACAAACTATAAATAACGACATGAATCTATTATATCATCAATTTATAGTATAGACATATTAATAATCTTATTAAAATCATATGTTGATGAAAATTATATAAACCATATGTGAATTAAAATCATATATGTTATTTTATAAAACAAATTAAACTAAAGCAATTTTTTTTGACAAAATCTAAATATTTTAATTGTGTGCTTGAAAAAAAGAGGGGAGGGGGGTAAAAATTACTGCCATGCAAGGTATTTCATGAATTTTTTAAAGAACTAATTTCATTAATTTATCATTTTTGAAAAAAAATTACCGGTTATTAATTTTTTTTTATTTTGCATGTTGAGCTTATGAAATCACATCGCTAAACTGAACACGTGACAAATCTGCAATTTTCTTTTAGATTTCAATCCGTGTGCAGGGCTGAAATTTGTTGTTGCATTTTTTTTAATGGGGATCGATGATCGTGGGTGAATGTGCCCTTTCATTCGAACTTGAAATTATTCCAAAAATTATATTAGTATCAGATTATTTTATTGTGTCAAAGAAAATATAAATTATTTAATTATTAAGAGTTTTTGTTATAGCAAACACTGTCACAGTTGAATTGAAGCCAAATGTATAATAAAGTATGTACATTTTACTTAAACAATGTAAAATGAAGGAAAACGTTAAGATTTATAGGGAATATGGCAGTTCCATTCACGTACATGCCGAAATTAGGGATATGTATAATGGTCGATGTTGAAATCATAGATTTATGTGCCCAAATTATAGTTGAGAAAGAAAAATATTATATTTGATTTTGTCATATTTTATGAAGACATGTCAGTATTCCATTTATCACAGACTTTATGTTCTGGAAAGCATTAATCATTTAGAAGCTTTCCAAATACTGAGTATTTTTAAATAAAAAAAAAAGTTATTTAACTTGAAAAAAATATTAATACAAATAACTCAAATTCCCTTTTTTAACATATTGGAGGAGGATCTGGTAACATTATTTGCCCCCCCCCTCACTTTACCTCCCCCTCAGAAAACTATTTCAGATAATTATATTTTGCTCACTTGGAGTCCAAATGAGGTTCTCTGTTCATTGAATTTCAAAAGCTTATAGGGAATTCACTCCCAACGGACATAGCCCCTACGGACAGTGTTTTGGACCTAGTAAGAGCAGTGGTGGTTTGTAATTATATGCTTTCCATCTGCATAATTGCACTTTCTCTAATACTTATTTTAACCCTGTGCCTTTATGAGGAAGAACAAAATCACATAATCTTTAAATTACATACTGAATTTTGATTGTCATTCTTAATGTGTATGAAAGACACTTATCTTTGCTGGAAAAAACGTCAACTATTTTTTTTAGTCCCTTACCGGTGAAATCAAGGGGAACTATAGGTTTCCTCTGCGTCTGCCCGTCCGTCCGTCTGTCTAGCTGTCCGACCGTCTGTCTATCCCCGTCTGTCTGCCAGTCTGTCCCACTTTGTTTTCCTCACTTTTTTTCTAAACACTTGCAGATATTGAGCTAAATTTTGGTATGTAGGTGTATCTTGATGCGTTACAGATAAAGTTTGAATTTCGCATTGCTTCATTGGTTTTTGACAGAATAATGGCATTTTAAATTTTTCACATTTGTTTTATTGAGATCGGATTCATGCTGCCTAACTTCCGATATTCGACATAGATATGAAGCGAGAAAAAGACGTTGGAAAAATGAGTTAAATATTCGTCTTAATGTGGATAATTTTATTAGGTGTCAGGCACCCACAACCTCGAAATCAACCAGTTTTACATTGGACATATCTTTTGCATATTATTAAATGACATCCTGAAGAAAAACTCAATTTCACAAAGGGGAACCTGGTAGGGGACATGTATTGCTTATGCAATATTCTCAGAATGCTTGTTAAACGGACAGACGGTGTCTGACACGCGGATAAACAGGAAGTTGACACCAGGGGCCCGTTTCATCAAAGGTCGTAGATTTAAGCCTAAACTTAGGTGTACTTCCGGGACTTACGCCAAAATTCAGTCAGACGTAATTTGCGTTTCACCAAGTGGCGGAAGTCTAGTCGTCATCTATACGCGTAGTCGCAGGACTAAGACCTTGACAACGTTGCATTGCGCAGGCGCAAAAAATATAAACATTGTCCACTGCGAACAAACATGTATATAATATTCTAGCACGTAAAAGAATAGAATAACACAAATTATAGAATTATAAATACTTGCCCTGATTGAAACATATATGGATTTATAGGGTCATGTAGGAGACAAATCGATTTTAAGTTTTTACAATATTTCAATAACAATAGTCTTATAAATTGAAAGTTAGAAAAGGATCGTACATGTATTTCAGAATTTGATTAAAAGCTAAACTGTTTATTTTAGATTTTTGATTTTATACAGCACCCCCCCTTCCCGAAATTGATACAGGTTAATG